AAGAAATAGAATAGATTTGGGGGGATTTGCATTTTAAATCCATTTCAATCATATGTTTGGTTTGCTGGATTGTCCGGATTTGAAATCTTAGGATTTAATTGAAATCCTTCAAACATAGGATTTTGAAATCCTTAGAGAGTGCTCGGTATTTCACGGGATTTTGAAATCCCTAGGAAGTGCTCGGGATTTCACGGGATTTTGAAATCCTTAGAAAGTGCTCGGGATTTCACGGGATTTCGTATGATTATATGCAATAAGGTTTTAAAAAATGTTAATGAAATCCAATTCCATTCCAAATCCTACGAACCAAACACACCAATGGTTTCAAATTCATTCCAATCCAAATCCCTCCAAATTCAAATCCTTTCATGAAATCCAATTCCCTCAAAAACAATCCTACAAACCAAACGGACCCTCAATAGGGGGTGTTGAATAATTATATAATTATAAAAATAAAACATAAAACATAAAAAATTGAGATTTGATATATAAATAAGACGTAATATAATTTATATTACATTTTCACTTATTCTAAAATAACATTATCTATAGTACAATTAACACATAAAAGTTGTTAGTACTTATTTATTCGATCTAAATACGGGGTAGCCCATGTAGCAGCACATGGATAGCATAAATGAAAAAAAATGTGGAGTAATAGTAGGGATCGGGTATCCTTCTGCCAAGTCTAGTTACGATTAACGTACCCATGTTGATACCACGGTGGTGGAGTAGACCTAAGCTGTAAGTATGTGAACAACCTGTAATGTCTATAACATGTAAGATCACATTATACTTTGAAGCAATCAGGACACCAATTTCAGGCATGGTTATCCAATGTTCAACCGAGGCACCTCGATCTGATTGAAAGAAGTTTAAAACATTGTAAACTTTATTCCAATACTGACTTCCAAATATGTTGAGGTATTCTGTCTTGTATTCGTCTAACTCTTCCATCAAGTTAAATTGAATTGTTGATCATGCATCTTCATGAAGACCAAGGTGGACAGCTATTGCTCGAAATCCACAATTTTCATCACCTCTCACATCATGTACCTGTCTGATGTAAGGGTAAAACATTTCAGAAAATTGATTAATATATGGATGTGCATTGTAATTATTGTTGAAGAAATGATAACGCGTTCGAACAACTACGTCTAAGGGGTCTTTCAGCTGTAAAAGAAGGATCAACATGAGTTGTAAAAGAAGGATCAACCTCAGCTGTAAAAGACAGATCAACATGAGGTTTTCTGAAAAGTTTATCTCTCAACGAGGGACATCCACGAGTAGTCTTGTTAACAATTGGTTCACGAACCAATGTGTTTTGATGCATTGATTATCTCTTTTATCTTCCTTAGAAAACTAAATTTACCAGATCTCGATTGTTTTTTAAATTCCTTGGTAAACATTTGGACTTCATCTTCACAACCAATATTATCATCTTGTAAAGATTGGCACGATGATAAATCAAGTTTCGTCCAAAATACATCAATTGAATCAATTGGGATAGGATGACCTTTGTTGGAATATAACATTTGTTCATGCTCACATGRCAACCCATAACTTGTACGTAGTAGACAATTACAATTTCCAGAGAATAAGCCAATAGATTGAGCATGTCGATATTCCTGGAGTATTATGTCTAATGCATAAAGTGAAATAAAAATTATACAGTTGTTGGAAGTGTGGTATGCGATAAAGATGTTTCATGACACTTATGCTCTCTTCAATACTTGCTCTATTTTTTGTATCTTGGGACTGAATGAATTGATTGATCTTGCTCATAAATGTCGGTAGACTTGATTGTGCATAATCCAAGTTAGTTTTCAACTTGGAATGTTGGCTTTCCACTCTGTTACTTGTCCGAATTCTGAAATGGAGAAATTTGTCATTTCAAACAGATACAAACATTTCTTTATATGGTGTCAATCATCTGTCATTCAGATAAGCAAAAACATCTGAAAAATTGAACAAAATTATTTCGATTCCATGAATAGTAATTGTTAAAGCTATCAACATTTTTATTTATAATATATTCGAGTGTACCTGGATAGCTGAGCAATACTGCTTCAAGTTTTGCAAAATTAGACAGGTAGGTTTCATCTGATTCCGAAGCAATTAATGTCACCCATGTATCGTAAAAGGAACTCCAAGCACGGTTTGATGTTATTGCTGGTCTACAATTTCTCATAATACTTTGGTAGATGTGTCATCTACAAATTAATCTTTTAGCATCGGGAAAAATAATATTGCATGCTTTCATCAGTGCCAACTCTCTATCTGTTACGATCACACGTGGATAAAGACATCATTCCATTAATGAATGTAGACAATTTAATGCCCAAGTATAATTGGATATCCTTTCCTTGTGCATAAAGACAAATGTTACGCAGAATGTCTTATTAATTGAAGTTACACCAACATTTTCAAGGAGAGGCATCTCAAACATGTTCGTTTTATAGGTGACATCCATCAACAACACGTGTGGAAATGCACGCCATATCTCCAATGATCTAGGATGAGCAAAGAATAAATCTTTCAATTCATTGGTCGAGTCATTTGCCTGATCATAATATATGTAGCCTTCATCTTATAAAAATGACATCACAACTTGCATTGGAGTTCTACCTGCATTCTTTTTAAGTCGAAGTTTCTGGCATTGATTGTATATCGTCTTTTTT